GGGCGGGGGCGGGGGCGGCATTAGGTTGGGTGTGGACCGGGCGCTCGGCCGGGCCTGTGGCAGCCGCGGCAGCTCACCTAGTTTGAGGGGCAGCAAGGGCCAAAGCTGCCACCGAAAAGCCGAGCCGGTTTGCAGCGCCGTCAGGCATGATCTGGCCGGCAAGGCACCCCCGCCTGGGTGTGCGCCCACGCGACCCCCCGACACCGCCCGGCCCAAAGAGTCCCACGGCTCGCCCAACAACCATGCGGTGGGCGTCGGCGCGCATGATTGGGTCACCCCATAGCCCCTGGCCGGGGCTCATATGTCCTGTCACTTACAATGATAGATCCCCCCCCAAACACACAGTTTTGAATGGGCCTGCCACATAAAATGGTTGTACCGGCCCCACCACATGAAAGCCAAAGGCCCTCGCGCCTACCGGCCGCGCGCGTGATGCTCTCGTTCATGAGCGCGCCCCCCATGTCGTTGCAGCCCGCGGCCAGCAGCCCCGCCGCCGCCTCGGGGCCCATTTTCACCCTGCGGCGCCGAGTGGAATGGGGGCGAGACAGTTGGGGGTTGACACACAATGATGCGTGGGCCCCTCTGAATACGTGGCAAAAATCCACATTGTATCCTAGGATTTGAGATTCAGAATCTGCCACCCCCAACAGCAGCAGCTCCTGCAGCCCATGCATACGCGGAATCTGGGGGCCGCGCCCGCCAACCGGCCTGGACGTCTCAGGGCCGTGCGGGTGCGGCGTCAGACCTGTGGCAGCCGCGGCTGCCCCTATCCGACACCCCAAATTTTGCACCGCGCAGCCGCCGGACCCACGCCTGCGCCTCGCAAATCAGTGGTCAATAAATCTGACCCTCAAAAACCTGTTGAAGGCTTGCCAGTTGCCGCCCCCCATCAACGGATTAGAAACGGTTCATATTTGATGTGAGAAAAACCTCACCAGCTGGCCTGGATGTTTGTGACGTGCGGGTGCAGCGCCAGCCGCGCCACCGCGTGCAGCAGCACGCACTCGCGCAGCGTCGGCCCGCGCCGCGCGCCGCCCTTCAGGTACACCGGCGCCTGCATGTGCACAAACGGCAGCGGCACAAACTCGGTGATCCGCCCGCGGCGCCGGTGCCCGCCCCGTCCGACGCCGTCGCCGTCCGAGGTTGCGGCGGCGGCGTTGGCGGCGGCGGCGGCGTCTCGGATGGAGAGGAGGTGGCTGGCCCAGCGGCGGGGGGAGTCCTCGACGTGGCCAAACATTAGGGTTGAGGTCGTGTCCAGGCCGACCTGGGTGTGTTTGCATGCGTGAGTGTGTACGGTATGTGTCTGGTAGTGTGCTTATGAAGTGAGTGCGTGTGTTGATAGTCATCTTGGGGGCCGCACATGTGGATAAGCAGGCCATGTGGGGGGGTCCATCTGGTTCAAAAGGACGCCGTTCACTCAATGCTTATAAAGAGAGAGCATCCAGGCCGACCTGCATGTCGCACTACGGCACAAACACAAGCCGCCAAGCCGCCCCAACCCTACCTCGTGCGCCGCGCGGATCACGGCCAGCCACTCCCCGGCCGAGATCTTGTCGGGGCAGATCACAGATCTGATCTCGTCGTCAAGGACCTCGGCCGCGGTGCCGGGCAGCGACCCGAGGCCGGCGCATTTGAGGCGGCCGAGGAAGTCGGGCACAGAGATCCCGAGGGTGCGGGCGCCCTGGCGGCGG